TTATTTATAACTAGTGGCTTGGTGAACGAATTCATGTACACTGAAAGGGAATTAATTAGAAGAAATATTTTAATATTGCTATTTGCCCTTTCTCTATAATAGAAATGTCAGAAATTAAAGAAAAGTAATAAAATGTATATGAAAATAATATGTAAATTTATTAATAAACAATAACATGATATGACAAATATATGACATAAAAACATAACATGATATAAAAACAACAAAAATAGGATATAAAAACATTGATACAATGATAGATAAATTTTTTAAACTTATTCTAATATCTCCCTGTATACCACATTAAGAGTAAAAACACTTCCAGAATGCTAGACTAATTTCTCTTGTGATGAAGTATTTACAACTTTAACTTTAACATCACATGTTCTTCAAACTCGAGAGAAAGCAATAACTGACCATGTACGAAAAGGGGTTCAGTAGGAATATTCCTACTCTGTCTAGAGTTTGTCCTTGTGATTTCTTAATTGTCATCACAAATGCTGGCATCATGGGAAACTGTCTTCGAATTGATTTAAATGGGAGACCAACGTCAGACAGGGACAAATCAATTCTTGGAATGAGAACAACCTCTCCTTCCTCAGATCCTGTTAGTACTTCAGTTTTAATTATGTTAGGTCACAAACTTTTGATAATAAATCTAGTACCATTACAAAGACTCTATTTACTATTAAGATTTCTCAGTAGCATAATGATTGCACCTACTTTCAATTTTAATTTATGACACGGCATTCCTGAAGGTGTAATACTATTAAGAAATTAGATGGGAAAATTTCCCTTTTCTGCATCATCCGTTGAATTGATGGAATCATCACTCAAATTGTGAAAATCTCCATCAAGTATATCCAAAATTTCTTTATTTAATTTATAAATGTGCTCATTTTTAGGATAAAGAATTGCACATTTAGGTATATTTTTAACATTACCTATAGATACAATATTTCCAAAGGTAGCTTCAATAATAGATCCATTACAAATCATTTCATGGGGGATTTCAATAATATCCATCCCTAAATGAAAACTATCAAGTTTGCCATCTCCAAGTTTTACAAACCATCTTATCTAATAAAGAGGAAATATGCAAATGACCATCACTCTATCACAAAACGGCGGCACCCATAGCCACAAGACGGCGGTGCCCAGTCCTCTCAGCCCCGCCGGAGTCCCCCAGTCCGGGGAGGGGGGTGTGTGGTGTAGCTGTTGAGAGCAGGAAACATAACATGAACAGCCTGGCGGAATGCTTGCTTTGTCGCCACGGTGACAAGGCAAGCATTCCACCTCAGCCATGGAGGGCCTCTGGGCAGCAGGCATGGAGCAGCTGGGATGGAGGGTGGGAGTGGGGGTGGGGAAGGGAGACAAGGCAAGCACTGCACCCGCCCGCAGATGGGCCTCTGGCCATGGAGGGTGTGAAACGTTTGTATTGTTGCCCCAGCAATGAGGCAAGCATTCCGTGCCCAGCTGTGGCCAGGGAGGGCAGTTTGGGGCCATGAGGCTGGCTGGAGAGGAAAGTTGGGGGCCATGAGGCTGGCAGGGAAGGGCATTTGGGGGTGATCAGGCCGGCAGGCAGAATGGTTAGGGGCAATCGGGCGGGCAGGCAGGCAGGTGACCGGTTAGGAGCCAGTGGTTCTGGATTGCAAGAGGGATGTCTGACAGCTGGTTTAGGTCCAATCCCACAGGGATATCCCCCAGCAGTCGGACATCCCTGAGGGGTCCCAGATTAGAGAGGGTGCAGTAGGCTGGGCTGAGGGACAATTCCCCTGTGCACGAATTTCATGCACTGGGTCACTAGTTCACTATAAGCAGAATCCTCTGATCTGCTGACCAATGGCCAATTCCGTGAGGAATGGGTCTCCCTCCTCTCCTTCTGTCAGGGTCAGGGGTGCGGGTGAATGGGATTTGGGGCTGTCAGAGTGTCGACAGCAAGGTCTGGCTCAGTGCTCACCATAGCTAACAGCTGGTGGTCTGATCATTAGTCATTCTGGTCGTTACACCATAATGGTTGCTTGGGCCTTTATTACATAGGCTAGCCCCAAACTGGAAACAATTTGGTTAACCAAATCCTGCTATATCCAAACCATGGAATATCACTGAGCAGTAAAAAGGAATAAACTATTAATAACACACAACTTGGAAGGATCTCAAGGGAATTAATTAGGTTAGGCGAAGGAATCCAAACTCTAGAGGTTAAGTATTTATTATGTGATTCCCTTTACATAGCATCCTTGAAATGAAAAAAACTATAGTTGTGAGACAGATTAGTGGTTTTTGGGGATTAGATAAGAGGGAGGTAGGTGGCTGAGGCTATAAAAGAAAGCACAAGGGGTCCTGGTGACAAACTTCTGTACCTTGACTGAGGTAGTGGTCACCCAATACTGCATAGACATAAATACACACACAGACACAAATACACAAGTACAAGTCAAACTGGAAAAAAATTTGAATAAGACCAGTGGATTATATCAATCTCTATATCCTGGTTGAGTATTTACTATTATAGTTATGCAAGATTTTACCAGTGGAGGGAAATGGGTGAAGAGTATATGAGATCTGTCTCATTTCTTACAAATACATGTGAATCTACAATTATCCTATATAATAAAAGCCTAATATGCAAATTGACAAAACAGCAGAACGACCAGTCGCTATGACAGGCACTGACAACCAGGGGGCAGATGCTCAACAAAGGAGCTGCCCCTGGTCTGCAGGCCCCAGGCCAGCCAAGGAGGGTGCCAGCGGGGGCCCTCAGATCACCTGGCCGGTTGCCCAACATATCGTTCCTGATCGCCAGCCAGGCCTAGGGACCCTACCCAGGCACAAATTTCATGCATCGGGTCTCTAGTCTCAAAATAAAAAATCCAGTCCTGGCTGATGTGGCTCAGTTGGTTGCACCAAAAGGCCGTGGGTTTGATCCCTGGTAAGGGCATGTATAGGAGGCAACCAGTCGATGTTTCTCTTTCTCTCTCTTCCTCCCTGTCTTAAAAAAACCCAAAACTGCCGAAACCGGTTTGGCTCAGTGGACAGAGCATCAGCCTGCGGACCAAAAGGTCCGAGGTTCGATTCCGGTCAAGGGCATGTACATTGGTTGCGGGCACATTCCCGGTGGGGGCTGTGCAGGAGGCAGCTGGTCGATGTATCTCTCTCATCGATGTTTCTAGCTCTCTATCTCTCTCCCTTCTTCTCTGTGAAAAAATAATAAAATATATTTAAAAACAAACAAACAAACCAAAAAACCAAAACTTCAGCAGATATAAAAGAGTGGTACTGCTGACAAAAATGCATGTAACCTGGATTTAATAATGAAGGAATAGTAGGCATCAGAAGGAATGACAGGCACTGACTCATAAAAAACTGGCCTATCCTAAATAATAAATGTGTAATATGCTAAGTGTCCAACTGATTGGTCGACAAGGGGCAGATGCTCCAACTGGTAGGTTAGCTTGCTTCTGGGGACATGACCTGGAGCCTTCCCACAGTCACTCCCTGGCTGGCTGGCCCAGAGAGGCCCCACTTGGGGCTGCTGGCCCACCTTCCATGGTCCCTACCAGCTGGCCAGTCCCCATTGGCCCTGATCGAGACTGGGTGAGACGGCCCTGATTGGCCCCAGTTATTGGCCAGGCAGAGGGACCCCAACTGTGCATGAATTTGTGCACTGGGCCTCTAGTAACTCTTCATAAGTGTCAATGTCATGACACAGAAAAAGAGACATGACTAGTGCATGCAACATACCGTCTGACAGACTAATCCAGGGCTTTCTTTGCTATAACAGACATTATTTAGACAATTTTACAAAACTTAGAAAAGACCTATAGTATTATATTAAAAAGTACATAATGAAGTATTTAAAGGTTAAGGGTCACCATATCCCAAACTTACTCTCAAATGGTTAAAAAAAGAATATACACATAGAAAAGGAAATATGGTAAAATGTTAATAGAATTAACATGTAGAATCTGGGTAAGGGAATACTTTAGACTATTCTTGCAATTTTTCTGTAAGTCTAAAATTATAAATGAAAATTATAATAAAAAATGTTAAAGGAGTACAAAATACTACACAGAGCCTGGTAGATAAACATGCAATAAAGTAGTTTTCAGATATTTTATATTGATTTTCAGATGAAGAAGCAAGTTGAGATGCTAAACAAACTGTCAGGAGGAACTATGGCAAATGGGTGATAAGGCCAAGATCTAAACTTATACCTGTTCCAACCAGTCTGTGCTCCTCTCCCTGGAATGAGGAAGGATGGAAATTTCACCCCTCCCTCCCACCTGAGGATTTGTATGGACTGTTTAAGGAGAGGATGACGTTATATAAAAATTGCCTTCAAACCATTCTCCAAGCAATTCACTTCTTAGTTTCCTATGAGAAAAGCCTTAAGACTGTCAGGGACTTAACACCTCGAACTCAACTCCCAGGGAGGATATTTTGCTGACAGCACATCAAACGAATCAAGTCACAAATGTCCTGAATCCTCTGTGTGGGGCTCCCCTACAAGCAGCACCCTGTCCTCCGGGGTCTGTTCACCCATCTGGAGTCCCCCAAGCACTCAGGCTGCACTGGTCCTTGGGATACCTAGGCTGGCTATCGTGATGCAGCTCTTCTCTCCGTCCTTCCCCCTCTCACCAGCACCCAAGGCTAAGCTTAGCCAGGGTAGATACATTAGTTTTAATAGTTTTATATTTTTATGAATAGATAATAACCACAGTTCAAAATTCTCATGGGAAAAATGTGTATCGTGAAAAGTTTCCCTCATCCACTCTCCATTCCCCTCCCCCTGATAACCAGTGCTACTAGCTTAAATACGCAACTTTCTGTATTTCCTCATGTTACTAGAATTAGCTAGATCACATTATGATATTAAGCTAACCATCTACCTAACACACTCCAAGTGATCACTATAATTTAGTAACTCCCCCATGTAGGCAGATATTTACAAACTCCTTGGCCGGTAGGCATCAATCACTGGAGTACTGGCAGCTCACCTGGTTCCTGTCGCGTGCATTTGTGTATCTGATCTTCTGAATGAAGTAGAATATGAGCCATGCTGAAGAAATAATCATCAAAACAATAAAGGATATTGACACGAAGACTAGCGAGCCTCGGCTGAAGTTCTTTGGTGGCATTCGCGTCCCAACAGCTATTGTCATTTGTACAGAGATGTTTTTCTCCAGATAACTCAAAATATCCTTACCCCTCAGTTCTGTAATCATGACAGCAATAATATCTCCAGTGCCTGTAACATAAAATAAATACATATACATTTTAAAATTACAGGAACATCAAATATATAAAAATGCTTAGAAAAACTATACTACAATTTCTGCTAAAAGCAAGAGTTTTCAGATTCAACTTTTTAAAGGAAATGAAGTTACAGTTGGGTATATGTATGCTGGCACCACTCGAGAAGAGGAATTTGTTCTTCGTACTTAAGACTTAGATTTAAAGCATAAACAAATGCAGTATTAAGAGCCATATTAACTTGTATTACAACTATATTTTAAAAAAGTTTATCAGTCAAATGTGAAAACAGACAATATGAAACGTAATAAAATCACGGCTTAGTTTTCTTTGTTAAATCTTTTCCATCTTAAACTGCTTTTTAGGAAGTCCAAATCCTTAAGAAAAGGAGAAAAATGCTGTTATTTATAATACAAAAATTGGTACTTTTTACACTAATCATTCTTAGAAACATGATGTGACACCGGTTGTGTATAGAACTAGTACAAGAAATAGAAAGAATACAGGAGGTGCAGCTGTAAAATAGCACTGAGCGTTAGGACACAAATCTGATAACAATTAACAACAGCAAAATGCCAAATGGCGGCATCTTTTATTAAGAAGAGTTGAGCCTGGCTGGCATGGGTCAGTGGTTGAGTACTGACCTATGAACCAGGAGGTCTCGGTTTGATACCTGGTCAAGGCACATGCTTGGGTTGCAGGCTCCATCCCCAGTACGGTGTGTAGGAGACAGCCAATCGATGATTCTCTCTCATCATTGATGTCTCTATCTCTTTCTCCCTCTTCCTTCCTCTCTAAAACCAATAAAATACATATTTTTAAAACGTTCCTAAGTCCAGACTGACTGGAGGAAGGCTGCTTTCTAGTTTCCCCCTGAACCCTGCTGGAAATCAAACTCTTTCTGAGGTAAATCCAACCTTCAACACTCTGGACAAGTTTGGCGTCACACTGCTTCCAGCTCCTAATAGCTGTCAGAGGTTCTGCCAAAGTCATGGGCTATTGAGTCCTATATAATAAAAGCCTAATATGCTAAGTATCTAGTTGTCCATTCAACCAATCAAAGCATAATATGCTAATGATATGCTAAGGCCTCTCAACCGCTTGCTATGATGTGCACTGACCATCGGGGGCAGATGCTCCAACGGTAGGTTAGCTTGCTGCTGGGGTTCGGCTGATGGGGACTGATCGAGATGGACTGGACATGCCCTGAAGCCCTCCCACAGTCCTTCCCCCACCCCAATCGTGCACCAGTGGGGTCCCTCTGCCTGGCCTGCACCCTCTCACAATCCGGGACCTCTCAGGGGATATTGGAGAGGTGGTTTCAGCCTGATCCCACAGGCCAGGCCGAGGGACCCCACTGGTGCACGAATTCATGCATCGGGCCTCTAGTTTAATTATAAAGATGTTTTCAAGTTGCACTTCTAATCACCTAGTTCTTTCACTTACATAATTTACTGTACTACAATAAAGGCAGGTGACTCTCGGATGCACAACATGAAATTACAGTCCATTCCTCCTTTTTCTTTCTTTTAAGGAAAAAGGGAAGCTTTTTTTTGTTTGTTTTTTTTTTAAACCACCAATCTAGCTGTCATTAATTGACTTGTCATAAGCTGAAGCTGTCTGGGCAACATGCAACTTTTACACCTTGCTTTCTTCAAAGAGCCCCAAAAACTCTGGCTAGTAGAGGAAGGAAAATAAACATTTTATTTTGGGGAAGAAAAAGTTATAACCACTTATTAAAAACTGAATAAGGGCCAAAACCGGTTTGGCTCAGTGGTAGAGCGTCAGTCTGCGGATTGAAAGGTCCCGGGTTCGATTCCGGTCAGGGGCATGTACATTGATTGCGGGCACATCCCCGGTAGGGGGTGTGCAAGAGGCAGCTGGTCGATGTTTCTCTCTCATCGACGTTTCTAGCTCTCTATCTCTCTCCCTTCCTCTCTGCAAAAAATCAATAAAATATATTAAAAACAAAACAAAACTGAATAAGGTTTGTATATATAAATGTAGATCACCAAGACAAAATACCCCTTCATAACTTGCCCTTTCAAAGACTTCTTCAATGAATAATAACATTACTAAGTATTTATATGTTTAATTTATCATATCTATCTAAAATGACTATCCTTGTAACATGTGCAATGAAAGATCACATGCAACTGAAAATAAATTCAAAGTAGCTAATTAAAAGTAGTTTATGAAAAATTTAATCCAATGGAACATATACCTTTGTGTTATCTTATTCAAAATTGTACCATCCACTTTATCAGAACAGCAATTTATCAAAATATTGATTTAAAAAAACCCCAAAAAATGAAAACTGCAAATTTAAAGCAAGCAACAAAGTTAACCTTTTAATTATCTCTCTGAAATAAAATTTCTGATCAGTAAGTTAGAGCAAATCATAATATTATGCTAAACCATTTAAACTTCAACTTAGAAACCTTAGGTTTGTGCGTTTAAATGTTGTTCGACAGGCAATGGTCTGTGGTGTAGATACGAGGTATGGCTATAAAGTAACTGAGACGGATCCCACACACGACACATGACAATCAGTCTCATTGCTTTATAATCACACCAGGTACAAACAGGGTTTTAGAACCAGTTCTGAGGCTCCCTCTTGAAGATCAGCTGGAAAGGAGCAGGGAAAGCTGGCAGGTAGCCAGCCAGGGGAAGCAATCCATCCTCACATTTACACTAAGTGGGCACCACCTAATTTCAACTGGAAAACTGTGCGGGAGAAGAAGTGTTTAATTATTTCAACCATCCATTCAACAATGTTTGCTGAGCACATACTATAAATCAAGGCTCCTTTACTTTCACCTTTCAGAGAGAGTGAAAAATTACCTACTGTGAAAAAAAAACACACACACACACACACACACACACACACACGTGTCATGTGTGGGATCTATGTGTGGGATATTTATCTCTACCTCTGGTTCCTGGCACAGGGCTCCTAAAACCCTTGAAATTTCCTAAGCAATAAGCATTAGGAACATCATGTCTTGTGGCCTTTGACATTGGTTCCTGACACAGAACTCCTCAATCCCTTGGAATTTTCTGGGTGATAGGAGAGTCTTTTGTTGTAATGAGGCCTCTCCTGACAGCTCCTGGATAGCTTGAGGATGGGGCTGGTCACCAGTAAAACCAAGCCACGATGAGACACCCAGAACTTCCACCCCATCCCCATCCTCAGGGGAGGGAGGGCCTGGATACCGACGTAATGATCCATGAGGGCTTGGTGAGGAAGACACCACACAAATCTCGGGTTGGAGAGCTTCAGGATTGGAGAACACGTGCAGGTGAAGGGAGGGTGGGTGTCAGAGAGCCTTTCCCATACCCTGTCCTCTGTAAGTGTTCATCTGGTTATCTGTCTGTAGCCTTTACAGGGGTGGGGAACCTTTTTCCTGCCAAGGGCCACTTGGATATTTATAACATCATTTGCAGGCCATACAAAACTGTCAACGGAAAAATTAGCCGGCTGTCTTTGGTCAAACATTTAATTAACTCATCCCCAATGCCTTGGCAGGGCCAGGCTAAATGAGGGCCTTGTACGGCCCACGGGCCAGACATTCCCACCCCTGCTTTTATATCCTTTAAAAGAAACCAGTAAATGTAAGTAAGTGTTTCCCCTAGAAAGGGGTTGTGGAAACCTCGATTTATGGCCAGTTGGTCAGAAGTATAGGCAACAATCTAGGACTTGTGAAGGTTTCTGAAGGTGTGTGTGCATGTGAGGGGCAGGGTCTTTTGGGACTGAGTCCCTAACCTGTAAGAGCTGATGCCAACTCCAGGTAGTGTCAGAATTTAACTGAATTATGGGACACCCAGCTGGTGTTGCTGAGATTGCTTGGTATAGAGAAAACCCCCTACACAGGTGGTGACCAGAGTGTCAGAAGTGAAGTGCTCATGTGAGCAGGAAAGGAGACATATGCAGGAGTGTTTTCTCCTTCCACTTGCTCTTGATTATATAAAAACTCTATCCTCAAAGGGCAAAGGAGACTCTTAAAGCAACCAGAGAGAGAGCCAGACTCAGGCAGTCTCTCATCATGTTACAGAGGAGGAGACCAAGTAGACTGATAGGAAAGGAAACTAAAACGCTGCAGGTGAAGCAAAATGAAAATAATGTAGTAGATCACCAGAACACTAGTGAAGGCACTGGTTAATCATTTTAGGTTGTAAATCCCTTGAGAATCTGATAATACGGATCCCTCTGAGAAGAAAAGTATCCCCCAACTATGGACCTCCTCATCCTTCACTCTTAAAGCCAGTCTGGTCTCAAGACCTTGATTTAAGAATGTCTCAGACACCTGACTTTAAAGATTTGCAAAAACACAGCAGGATGCAAAATAAATACCCAGATATCAGTTGCATTTTAAACACCAATAATGAACTATCAGAAAGGAAAACAAACAAAAAACCCCAATCTCATTCATAATTGCTTCAAGAAGAATAAAATACCTAGGAATAAATTTAACCAAGGATGTAAAAGACTTATACTTGGAAAATTACAGGACAATGAAGAAAGAAACTGAGGGAGATACAAATAAATTGAAGCATATACTGTGTCCATGTATAGGAAGAATTAGCATCATTAAAATGTCCAGAAGACCCAAAGCAATCTACAGATTCGATGGAATTCCTATGAAGACACCAATGGCATATTTCACAAAACTGAACAAATGTTTCAAAAATTTATATTGAAACACAAAAGACCCCAAATAGCCACAGCAATCTTGAGGAAGAAGAACACAGTTGGAGGAATCATGTTACCTGATACCAAAATACACTACAAGGTCACAGTAATCAAAACAGCATGGTACTGGCATAAAAACAGATCAGTGGAACAGAACAGAGAGTCCAGAAATAAACTCATGCTTTTATAGTAAATTTATATTTGACAAGGAGGCAAAAACATACAATGGATTAAAGACAGTCTATTCAATAAATGATGTTGGGAAAATAAGACAGATAATGTGCAAAAAATGAAACCAGACAAACTTAACAAAAGGAAGACAATCAATCTAACGAAAAAATGGGCAAAGGACCTAGACACTTCTCCAAAGTGGACATACAGATGGCCAACAGACATATGAAAAATGCTCATAGTCACTGATGGTCAGAGAGATGTACATTAAACAACAATGAGGTATCATCTCACACCTGTCAGAATGGCTATCATCAACAAATTAACAAATGACAAGTGCTGGCAAAGATGTGGAGAAAGGGAACCCTAATACACTGCTGGTGGGAATGCAGACTGGTGAAGCCACTATGGAAAACAGTATGGAGTTTCCTCAAAAAACTGAAAATGGAACTCCCATTTGACCCAGTGATCCCACTTCTAGGAATGTATCCTAAGAATCCTGACACCAATCAGAAAGAATGTATGCACCCCTGTGTTCATAGCAGTGTTATTTACAATAGCTGAGATCTGGAAACAGTCCAAGTAAGTGCCCATCAGTAGATGAGTGGATAAAAAAGCTGTGGTACATTTACACCATGGAATACTATGCAGCAATAAAAATGAAGGATCTCTTACCCTTTGAGACAGCGTGGAGGGACCTGGAGAGTATATACTAAGTGAAATAAGCCAGTCAGAGAAAGACAAGAATCACATGATTTCACTCATATGTGAAACCCAGTGAACAAAATAAACTGATGAGTAAAATAGATCCAGAGACATAGAAGCATAGATCAGACTGTGTAATCTCAGAGGGAAGGTGGAGGTGGGTGGAAAGAGATCAACCAAAGGACTTGTATGCCTATATGCATAGCCCATAGACATAGACAACAGGCCTGGGGTAAAGGGAGGGGTGGGACAGAGGGGGGAAATATGAGAATATGGAATATCTTCGACAATAAAGGTTTAATTTTAAAAAAGAAAAGAGCTATCTTATAACTAAAATCTTGGTTCCTAAATGCCCATTCATGGTCCTTGGTTCTCTTCTCTGGAGAAGCACCAATAAAGAGATAATTGTATTTCACTTATTTATCGTGTGAAATACCGTCAACTGTAAGATACATCATTATTGTATAATGAAGAAAAAAATCCTCTCAATAAGCTGTAAGATGCCATTAAATATAAGCTGTACTTCCCAGGACCAATGAAAATCTCTCTTCTACCCAACAGTTGTTCAGATAGTCAAATCCATCTTCCCTGAACTCACCTCAGTCTTTTCTCCATATTAACTATTCCTAGAGTCCCAAATTATTTATCTAAAAAAATACTGTTGCCGAAACCGGTTTGGCTCAGTGGATAGAGCGTCAGTCTGTGGACTGAAGGGTCCCAGTCAAGGATTCCAGTCAAGGGCATGTACCTTGGTTGAGGGCACATCCCCAGTAGGGAGTGCACAGGAGGCAGCTGATCGATGTTTCTCTCTCATCGATGTATCTAGCTCTCTATCTCTATCCCTCTCCCTTATGGAGGGAGGCCACTGGTCTTAGGCATAGGCCTTGGGAAGCTAACCATTCTATAATGCAAACTTGCTGCAGAGCAAAGAATTATCCTGCCCCAAATACCTCTTTATCTGCACTCCCTTCAAGAAAAACCTGAATTGTGGGGCACTCTGAGGCATCAGATAGGGGTAAGGGAGCCCCACCAGACTCTAACACATGCAGCCAGGCTGCACCACCTTCCTTACACCTGTGCCGGTGGACTACTGCTGAGTGTGCAGCATTCAGTCCAGGGTCATCATCATGTCAACAGCTGTCAAGTGAAAAATGTCTTCCAACCTGCACCCTATGGGGCTGACTTCTCAGTCAGCATTCTTAACCCAGACCCTCTGTATCACTGTAGCTCCCTCCTCTTCTGCTGCAGGAAAGATAAAAAGGCAAATCAAGCGATGACTTCCAACAACCTGCTCAGTACTGCATGGAGCCTGCAATCTCTAAGTCAGAAGGAAGGCTTGTAGAAAAATCATCTCAAGTATCTGACAGAGGTAGGGTTCTCTACATCCACCTAAGAGTTAGAGACATAAAAGGAAAATCCGGAGCCTATGCAAAAGTTTTAAAACAAAACCATCATGTCTTCATGAAATCATTTCTGTGCAGGACACTTATTGTGCTTCAGGTATGCTGCTGATTACTGCACAGAATAGAAAGTAAGACACAAACTTTAAAGAAACGTGCAGTCATTTTTTAAAAGCTATTTTTATTTTTTAAAAGTAACTACCTCAGTGATTCAGTTTTAGATAACTTGGGGAATAACTATGAAATAAAAAATATATGGATCACATAGATAAGATAAAGTAGAAATATTTGTAAACCAAGGCAAAAAAGAATACATAAAATTTAAACTCTTACTTCCTGTCATAGCAGTACATTTAAACCTCAGGCTCCACCTTTACTGAGGTAACTAAATCCACATTCAATTAGAACCTAAAAACTTTAAAGAATAAAACAATAGTATGACTATCATGTTACTCATTTTCTTGATGGGCTTTTAGAATAAAGGTAACAGGTTTATATTAAGTAGCCCAAATTATTGATATTAAAGGTGTTTTGCAGCCCTTGCCTGCTTGACTCAGTGGATAGAGCGTCAGCCTGCAGACTGAAGGGTCCCAGGTTCGATTCTGGCCAAGGACACATGTCTGGGTTGTGGGCTCGATTCCCCAGTAGGGGGCATGCAGGAGGCAACCGATCAATGATTCTCTTTCATCATTGATGTTTCTATTTCTCTCTCCTACCTTTCTCTCTGAAATCAATAAAGAAACATATATATTTAAAAATAAAGGTGTTTTACAAAGTGTGATTTATCTTGTTTTCATAAAGTGCGATTTTTATATTCACTTAGTGAATATTCTGCATTTTCTATACATTTAAGAGAATAAGATGGAAAAAAGGTGAAGAGGCACTCAACTAATTCTGTTCAAACAGCTGAAGAAACAATAAAAAGTATTTGATACCGCTGATTGAAAAAAATAGAAAAGCAACATCATTATTTGGTTACATGTTTATCTAAATTACCTCACTTTTCTTTAAACAATGAAAATAAGATAAATTCTTACAGAGACACAAATAAAACTATAAGAGATTTTCAATTTGACAAATTTAAGACTGTTTAATAATAGTAAAATCTATATACATTTTTAAAACCAGGAAAATAAATCTTGAACTTTCCCCAAATGTGCATTATTTTAAACTACCCAAGAGCTTACAACTTCCCCTTTATACTACCGCATATCCGCTAACTCATTCTGCTTTACAAATGAGACCACGGACCGAGCGTCCTTCCTGTCCATGATGTCACAGCACCGCATTGGGAAATGTCCTTCAGGTACCACAGGAAGGGCACTGATGAGAACAAACATGAGCAACCTCTCGAAACACCCACAAGGCACGAAAACAAAATACTTACACTTAATGTGGAATGTGAAAGTCAGTTATCACATGTATCTTAAAGAAAACTTAACAAAACCGCATGCCTTCATGAAATAATTTCCTGAAGAACACTTATTTCATTCCAGGTATGCTGCTGACTACTGCACAGAACAGAAAGTGAGACACAAACTTCAAAGAAAGCTGCAATACCTTCCATACTCTATCAAGTATAAAACAATGTTGACATGAAAGGAAAAGGAAAGTACTGTCCAAGAGGCACAGAAAAAGGCCCTCTGAAGCCTGCTGGGGCCGCGGGTGGAAACCACTGGTCTTTTCCCCCAGCTCTTACCAGTTCATCTCAGAATGCACAGCACAAAGCTTTCTTTACTCAAATGAAGGGGAGACGACTGACATGTGAACAGGGCGGGCTAAACAGGGATCTCTGGGTCCATTCCTCAAGGGCTGTTGTGGTGGCTCTGAGGCAGGGTCCTTAACCCTCACGTGAACAGTGCTGTCCCACTGGAGAAGGCCAAGAGCAGCGGGGACGCATGCATGCGCCTCACACACAGAGACGCTCTGCTGCTGTCCGCCACGACAGAGACTCGTGGCTGGACACAGAAGTAGACTTAGAGCCACAAGAGGCCTTCCCGCTCAGGAGGCAACATGGCCAATGCCCCAGAGGAAGGTGGTGGGAAATTTGGGATTAAAACCGATGTTGCCTATCTTTACTTCCTTGTTTCTCAAAGCAAGATCTGGGGACCAGGGTGGCATTAGCATCACCTGGAAACATGAAAAATACAGAACCTCGTGCTGTCCCCTACATCTACTGAACCAGAATTTGCAGTTTAATGAGATTTCCAGGTGACTGGTAGCATATTAATGTTTGAAAAGTACTCTAGAGTATGTATCTTAGAACTACTGTGTCTGAATTCTCTAATATATCAAGTAGTGCCAACTTTCCAAAGTACTGCACCAATTTACTTTCCCACATTATTCTAATTTTCTATGTACCTAAAAATAAAGTCTATTTATAAACAAAAAAAGCTCATATTATAGTACCTGGCAATAAATTAACACTATTGTTATTAAAACAGTTACATTAGAAATACCCTACATATTTCTGCAAGAAATTAATAATATTGTTCCAACTGTAACTGCTATACTTAAGTCAGTTTCAAAATTGATTCTGACAAGACAAAAGCATCTTCTCAAAGAGGTAAGCCTTGAGAATCCATGAGATACCTGGGTGAATGATTCCAAATCTAATACGCTATTTTTCAAAGTTTCCAAGTGAAATGTAAGAATGTAAAATGACTAATTATTCCATCAAAGCCAGCTTCTTAGTAAGTACAAGTTTTATAGGTTCTTATGGCCATTATTTAAGAAATAATGCTAAGGGGAAAAGAAAAATGGTGACATCAAAAATAAATATATGTTGAAAACGATATGGTTTCAGCAGAGGAACGCCTACCTATAAGGCAATGATTGCTAGGAGGAAAATAAATCTCCCACCTCTTCTGCTTGTTTACCTGGGTGAGTCATGGTGACTGGCTCCTCCTTGGACTTATTGTTGTAGATGACTACGGCAACGGCATTGTGGAAAGCAGCCCGTGATATTTTCTCTTTAAATGTGCAGTTTCCCCGCTGCAGCAAGGCAATCCACTGTTTGATATTGGGAGGGATAAAGAACCGGGTTTGAGGATCACAGCCCAGATGATCAGCAACTGAAGGAAAACGAAAAAACACACATTAATTTTCTTTCTCAAGTAAAGATAAATAAAACCAATCATCGCTTTCTCTGAAGCACGTCAAGCAGCTCACTGACAGCAGAGCTGTGGATACATTCAGAAAAGACATTACCCCGAATCTAAATCCTTATCTGTACCGGGAGAAAGGTGCTCCTGCAACCCCAATGAAAAGTGAAAAATTCTGTTTATAGATCGACAAGAATAACGAAGACGGTGATAGCCAGTGTAGGGTGGTGAAGAGAGGAGGAAGACAGGCGAGCAGAGAAACCAGGAGAAGGAGCCACCCCTGGTTTTCCTCACCCGTTTGGCATTTACTCCTCTCTCCACTCCCTCTCACTGCCTCCATGAGGAGACTGATTTTTCTTGGGGTAAGCAAGGAAGGCAAACTATTCTTTTGTTCAGATAACAAGTGGTCTTGCTGAAATTCAAGCATGCTTAAAAAAAGAAAAAAAAAGAAATTTAAGCATGCTTTAACAAATTTCTCAGTAAGTATAAGGAAATTAGAAAAGTTCACTTTTGGCCTGTATTTGAAAGTTATAATAGCTAAAATAACAATTAGAATAAATAGATTATTCCTTTAATTTATATCTATTGTTAAAATTACTCTACAATTGATTCCACATTAGGATACATATTAATAACTTACTACTCTTCCTATCTAAGGAGATGCACCAAGACTATCCTTTGGGACTACAAATTACGTGGTCACTGTCCTAGACTTGGGGGAATAGCTTATTCAAACACCTTCAAAGACACATGAAGTGGTTAGCGCCTCAATTTTTGATTCTGCAAATATGATCACCATGGCTCTGAGCCCTTTGTACATCTTGAGACGCTGTGCCTGGCTGTGCTTCCCATTGCTCATCCCTGCATCTGTAACAGCTAAAACGAAAGGGGGGCAGTCCAGGAGGGGGGACAGAGGCCACCAAAGGTAAACTTGGAGACGGGTCCCAGGGCCAGAGGACAGCGGGCCCCTGCCTCCAAGTCAGTCACTGCCAGCACAGTGCAGGCTGGGGAGGGAGGAGGCACAGCACAAAGAGGAACACTGGAAGCAAATAAGTAATAAGAACTTTAAATAAGAATTGATAAAAATAAAGTGTGAAAAGAGATGCCACCAGTGGGGAAATGTTTGCTTTCCCTGAAAGCACACTGTTTATTAAAAGAAATGAAATGTTTATATTACTTAAAAGAAACTAAAATGTAGAGACATCACTAACTACAAAGAAATGTTATATCTATCATTTCCATGTAAATATCTTTCCCCAAATTCTCTTATCATCATGGGAGGGCCAACGATGAAACATATCTGCTACCAGAGGTTTCTTAATACAGTAAGTGGGAGATCAGTGATGCCAGTTTGTCATGACTAAAACTGTCTGCAACTATGATTCACCCTTCCCTTACACAGTTTAGCGCTTTCTTAATCAAATTAAACTTTAGTTGACAACTATTGCAAGACACAGTCAAGGCATTGTGAAACTCCGAGATTGTGAAACACTTTACCTTCAGTGATATCTGTCTGTTTCACTGATCACTCTGCTGTTTTAAAATATAAGCATTTAGGTGATGTGCGAGGAGAACCAGTGTCTTTTTTTTCCTTTTTTTAAATATATTTATTGATTTTGTACAGAGTGGAAGGAAGAGAGATAGAGAGTTAGAAACATCAATGAGAGAGAGTCATCGATCAGCTGCCTCTTGCACACCCCCTACTGGGGATGTGCCCACAACCAAGGTACATGCCCTTGACCGGAATCGAACCCGGGACCTTTCAGTTCCCAAGCCGATGCTCTATCCATTGAGCCAAACCGGCCTTGGCGAGAACCAGTGTCTTGGGAAAATTTCCAAATCTCTCCGCAAGTAGGTGCAAAGAACTTGTTTAAGTGCTTCATTTGTGATTTTTCAAAATACACTGCTGCACAAACCTTGAAGAAAATGCAGAATCAAGAATACCTGGCCAGTGTGGCTCAGTTGGTTGAGTGTTGACCCGTGCACCAAAAGGTCACCATTCGATTCCCAGTCAGGGCAAATACCCAGGTTGTGGGTTCAATCCCTGGTCGGGATGCATGTGAGAGGCAACTGATCAATGTTTCTCTCTCATATCAGTGTTTCCCTCCTCCTCCTCCTCCTCTTCGTCCTCCTCCTCCTCCTCCTCTTCGTCCTCCTCCTCCTCCTCCTCTTCGTCATCCTCCTCCTCCTCCCAGTGTTCCCCCCCCTCCCCTCCCCCTACTTCTCCTCCCCCTCCTCCTCCTGAGAGGCAACTGATCAATGTTTCTTTCTCATATCAGTGTTTCTCTCCTCCTCCTCCTCCTCCTCCCAGTGTTTCCTCCCCCCTGCTCCCCTCCCCCTTCTTCCCCTCCCCCTCCTCCTGAGAGGCAACTGATCAATCATATCAGTGTTTCCCTCCTCCTCCTCCTCCTCCTCCTCCTCCTTTCTTCTTCTTCTTCCTCTCTCAAAAAAAAAAAAAAAAAGGCAGCAAAAGCATTTAAAAAAAGAATATAGCAAGAGCTCTATAAACTTTCTGACCTCCCTGTGGTTTCCTACTGTCACTGTGCGGTAAAGAGGAAACAACACAGCTGGGGACCAGCAAGACCTGGGGGTCCCAATGGGCTAACCTTCCACTTTTACTTATTTGTAAACTGAGGTTGAATTCTCACCTCACGGAGTTAGGTATGTGTGAAAAGTCTTTAACAATTCCTCTCCTCTTGGTTCTTCCAATGCGTTTGTTCCCTTCTGCTGGTTCTATGGGCGCAGCCTGTCTTGTGCGAGTGACCCAGCCTGGTGATACGGGGACACTATGCTGACGCGCATGAAGCCCCCAGAGCGAGCTACGCAGCACATCCCCATGTCCCCTCCCAACAGCTCCCTAGTCTCATCCTTCCTCCCTGTTGCTCTAACAATGTCACTGTCCATACAGAAGGACACCTTTCAGCAATGGCCACGAGGTCTGAGACCGAAAGAGAGCAAGGGGTGCAGTCAGAGTGCGATTTAGCTCTTGAAGGATCTCCATCCGCTAGAACAGACCCTGTGAACCGCACAATCCAAATACACCACCAGGCTGTATGAGCAACAAGAGCGTCCCTGTCCCCCAACCACCACGTGTAAAGCTCTGAAGACATCCTATCGGTAAGAAAAGAACACGCAGTGATAAACAAGAATAAGATGTGCAAGTTCCTGTTCAAAGGAGCCGCTTTCATTTATCAGAAAAAGAAAATAAGGTGTTTTTATAATCACTTAATACTATAGTATGCTTACTTTTATCCATTTATTCCTTCCAATAATTAAAAAATAACTTGAACAAATGTTAACAGCTAAAAACCCCACAATTTCACAAGAGGAATGACGACTATGGCTGGCGATCAAGTGGCACTACTTCAAAATTTAATACCAGTTATTTGTACTTGAAGCAGTTTATTAAGTGAAGACATAAAATGTCTATATAATTATGAACCATAAAATATGTCATTAGTAATTTTGCTCAAATTCAAAATCATTTACTTTTTTTTTTTTTTTACCTTCAAGTTCAGAAGAGGAAATCACCTCTGACTTCTTTGCATTTATCAGTGACAGTGTCAGGAAAAACTTACTTGAAGTTATCATGAAAATGTGAAATTACATACAATAAAAATACTGTACTACAACACCTTACAATTCTGACAATTATACCTAATAAAGCTGAAAAAATGCTGTATTACAGAAAAACTTAACTTCAATTTCCCCCCCTGTATGGCCTCTCCTATAAAATCCAGAAATAGTATGAGACTTTTATTTACTCTTTGACCAGAACCAAACAATTCTCAACAGGAACAATTATGGAATCCTCACCTTAATGCACAATAACTTAGACACTGAGTATCACACGAAGTACTGCAGAGAAATAGAATAGAGCCAAACATTTGGTCCTAAATCTTGAAGCACCTCTAAATGTCCTGAGGAGGCACGCCTGCACAGAATGGAATATTCACAAGGTAGCAGAGAGCAGCAGCACGAAGAGGGCTCAGACATCCAGAAAGGAGAAGAGAAATAAATGGTCAGGGAGCCTATGTGGAATGCTGAGAACCTACTCTAGTGGGAAGGACTGATCCCTCCTCTTAAACACTTGTGGAAATCAAGTAAGAAGATTATATAATCAATAAAAAGATTATATAGCCACAGTCACGACACTATATAAATTGAAGATAATCAAGTTCTAAAAAGAAGACTTCACCTGCAAAGGGGAAAGAGGAAGGCTGTTCTGGTACAAAGACCATGTTAATATTGAAAGGGTCAGTGATGAATAAGTAAAAATCACTCTTCCCCATCCTAGCAGCTGGAGAGGCTCCACCAGGATTCATTTGACTTAGTAAGACCTCATCTTTTAAAAAATGAAACACCGAAGGGGGAAAATGGCGGCCGAACAGATGGACCTGTTCTGAGCCTAGTCCCAGAGTAGATAGAAGGAGCACCTGAGAGTCGTTTGGGGAGTGTTAGTTGGCAAACTAAGGGGTAGAAGAACTCTATGAGAAAGTGGGGGTCTGCTGGACAGGATTTCCTGACCAAGCAGCCCGCACTGCCGCAGAGACCTCTCCCGGAGCTACGGGCTCAGAGGGAAAACTACTCCATCTTACAAAGAAAAGAGGATCTTATTTGAGGCCTGAAAAACCCACAGCAGTGGAGACCACCAAACAGCTGTGACGCCCTAATCAGCGCAAACACGAGGATTAAAGGGAGTTCTTCAATCACCCATGGAAAGGAGAAAGAGAACTACATAACCAGACATCCTCAAAAAAGAAACCATGGGGAGACAAAGAAATAGCCCGCACATGAAAGAAAAGTAGGCATCACCAGAAAAGGAAATAAACGAGTTAGAGACAAGCAACCTACCAGAGCAAGAATTCAGAGTAATGATCATAAGATGGCTAAAAAGAATGGAAAACAAATTTGACAATATGAGTAAGAACCAAGAGGAAATGAAGAAGAGCCAAGAGGAAATGAAGATG